AAAAAAAAAAAAAAAAAAAAAAAAAAAAAAAAAACATATATGGTATGTTAGATAGTAGTACATGCTAAAGAGAAAAAAACGAAGCCAAAATGGTGGAGAGGAGATTTCAACTTTTGTATTCACTGTCCAGGGAAGGCTACAAAGAGAAGGTTGATTTTGAATAAAGAACTTAAGGAAATTAGAGAGCTGGAAGAACATTCTAGGAGATGAACAAATACAAAGGCTCTGAGGCAGGAGTGTGCCTAGAGTGTTCTAGGAATTTTGGGAACCTGACTGGGTTGGAGAGGAGGGAACAAGGGGAGCATGGTAGGAGATGAAGGCCCTGTGGGGTAACAGCAGGGACGTCAGATCGGTAAGAACTGCTAATGGGAAAATAATATTGTGAGAGTGATAGAGTTAGAATATTGCAATCATTTGATAGGGAGCAGGAAACATTTTTTATCTTTAGAGATTTCAAATTTGGATAAAATACATTTTGAAACAGGTAGTAGTAATCTAGGCTATTGATAATAACAATTGAACAGACGAACATTTGTTTTCTTGGTTGTGGCAATGTGAGTATGAATATGGGACAAATTTCAGATTTGAAGCAGAAAAGTCATTACATTTTATTTTATCATTTTTTTTTCTTTTTTACTGACCGGTAATGGGATCGCAACCCTCGGTGTTGCGCCCGCACCGCGCTCAGCCAGTGAGCTGTAACCAGTCTCCACGTGGGATCCGAACCCTCGGCGGGAGCGCCACCACACTCCCAAGCAGCGCACTCTCCAGTGCGCCACCGGGCCGGCCCAGAAAAGTCATTACATTTTAAATGGTTGATGTTTGAATAAAGCTGTATCATTTTTTAACTAGTAACTAAAAATTATCAGAGAAGGAGGACGATCCTACCTAAATCAAAACATTTTGATTACATAAAATGTTTTTCTCTTTACTCCAGTAGTGGGTAGATAACCTGTGTTTAGCAAAATTATTTGATTCATTCAGCAAAAATCTGACTTTGATTAATGGCCCTATTACACTAAAAAATAAACCCTCAAAGAACAAAACTGAAAAACCAGAATAATAACTCTCTATGTCTTAGAGTTTTTTAAATGTGTAAAATGAGATAATTTTTTTTTTTTCCCTTTTTTCGTGTC